CATTCAAACATATAAACACACAGTACAGAAATGTACAACACGCGCACACACGTCAAACAATGTTGAACAATTAACAGCGAGCGCAATCCAAGAATTCATCGCAACCTCCTCATATCCCACCAAATGCCCGAGAGAAGGTCTTAACCTGGCACTGAAAAGATCACAAAGCTGGTTCCACATGGACCTCACTGAGGAGATCATGTCTTATTTGGGGCCACCGCAGAAAAGACCCTCTGCCTCATTACTGCCTTCCAAGCCTCCTTTGGAGAAGGCACGTGGAGCGGGGCCTCAGATGACAAATTTAGGATACAGGTCGGATTCTAGCGGACAAGAACCGTAACGCCTTAGCTTAAAGCCTTATGATGGGGAGCTCAAGCTGCCCAAATGCTACCAAAGGACTGGAGCGAAGAGAAGGGAGGCATAGGACGCCTGCGGACCGGCCTGGGACCAGAGGAAAGTCAGACTGCACCTCTAGCCGGAGGTTTCCTGTCATGTGGTATAAAAATCAGGAATATTCACTTTGCCTTTAGGCACTATGATGCCTCAATTGTTCTGCCTTAGCCCTTCACGATGGGCCCTGTATGAAGACTCCAGCGTTCTTTACAAACTCCCCCAGCTTTCCACCTTTAAGCAAATGCCCTGAGCTTCCATCAGCGCCAGCACGGTTCTTGCAGCCAAGGCGGCCAGAACGGTGTGCCTCGAACCAGGAATATTCTGTGCCGAACGCACGCCTGTGCTCTGCCCCAGCAATGCGCTCTCTCCCAACTCAGTTTTAGGAAAGTCTTCTTACCGCATGCAGATTTGCCGCATGTGTTTGCATCTCACCGCCTCACCTCTTCCCCCTTCCTGATGGTCTCCACAGCCACAGAGCGCCGTCTCCCCAGCTCCTAAGCACGCCCCCCCCCCCCCCCGGCTGAGCCTCGGCCGCGGGAACGTGCCAGCGAGCATCGGATCCCTTCTGACAAACTGCACCGGCGGCAGCAGCATCAATGGAGCGTTGTCATGAAAGGAAAACAGCAAACAAGCAAAGCCCACAGAGCTAAATATAGACTTGAAAACCGGCTCTCACCTGCTGGCTGTTTCTTACCTAGGGCAATCCTTACACCTGGGCTGTACAGCCGGGGTGACCAGAAGGAATGCTCGGGAATGTTCCCGTGGCTTGGGATGGAAGTGGTGAGACGCTGCGAGCCACGCAGCGTCCTCAGGGGAAGAGACAGGGCTGCCCGGCAGCACGGGCTGCTTGAATGAGCCGGGCCTTCCTGTCTTGCATGGCCGGGCCTTTGTGGTGTGTCTTGTCCCACCCTGCCCCCCTGGCACGGCTCCGTGCACGCCGGCCTCTTCCGTAGGCAGCCAAGGATGGCGTGCGAAGGGCCAGGTCCTGGCGGGGTGCGGGGTGTGGAGGCACCAGACGCACACTGCCCCGGAGGGGAGAAGCAGAAGTCCGGAGGGGGGTGCGTGGCTCCCACGGGGAGGTCGTTCCAGAGGCCGGCAATGCCCGAGGCCCGGACGGAGGAGCCTGGGACGCAGCTGCTGAGAGCGCGAACATTGCTCCAGCGGGATCGGAGCAGCAGGCCGGTCGCCCCGGTGCCGTTGCTCTTGGGAGCCCACAAGGAAGGCCCGGAGCAGGCAGGCCGCCCCTCTTTCTCGCGTGCCGTGCCGGCACTTGGCAAAGGCCACCTGCTTTGTCTCTGGCTCGGTCGCATCTGCACACACGACAGGGGAACCCCTTCTCCCACGGTTGCTTCCGCCTGTTTGTTTATTTGTTTGGTTTAGAACTCGGCTTTTCCAGCAAGAAACTGAGGGCAGCTTGCATAACCCTCTTCCTCCTCCTCGTTGCTGCTTTATCCTCGCACCCTGGGAGGCAGGTGAGGGTCCACAACCGGCCCAGATTCACCCAGTGGACTGGGTTGAGGGCTGAGTGGAGAGAAGACCCTGGCTCTCCCAAAGCCCAGCCCAGCACCCAAGCCGCTGTACCAGACTGCCTGTCTGCAGGAGGGCAATATTCAACCCGAGGGCCCGTGCACCGGACAGGGTAAAGGGGAGCTTCTTGTAATAGCCAGAGGCAATCCTATGCGTGTTTAGACAGAAAAAAGAAGGGACGCTGTGAGTCGCAGGACTTCTTCCTTTCTCAGCATGCACAGGGCCGTGCCCTGAGAGGCTTTTATGCCCAGTGTTCCTATTCTCCCAGTAAGCAGTTGTGGATGTTATAGCAATTTGTCCAGTGGTTCATAACAGGGGCTTCTGAAGCTCTTTCAGGCTGAACACTAAATCCAAAGGGGGACAGGACCAAAGACCAAAGGGCGGGGGGGGGGGGCAACAAATGTCCTTTCCTGTCAGAAAAGAAGCCTTACAACAGACACGCAATCCTTTTAGAATGGGATAGGAAGAAATGCGGAAAAGCTGAGGCTTGCCCAAATGGCCAGCCCTCCAGGAAAAGGATGTGGGGCCAGGGGAGAAAGTTCGCCATGGGAGGACCCCCAGGGGACTGGGCTGGGGTCCCGGGAGAGCGAACTCTGGCCCTGGGCATGGAGCTTTGCAGCACTAGTTTTTACGAGCCCAAGGCGAGCATTCATCTGGTGGGCCAGCGACTGGACTTCTCCAGTGGCCAAGCGGAGCTCTCGAGTGACGCCGCAGGGAGGGCTCGCAAGCAATCCCGTTGGCTACTCTGACCCCGTGCCCTTTGCCTTTAGTCTTGCCCACCACCGGAATACAGTCCCCAGACGTGAATTTGCCCCTTGGGCAGAGGAAGGTTTTTAACCCCTGCAGTCAATGCACATCTTGAAACCGCAGCTGCTGCTCACCTGCCTTCCCTGCATCCCGCTGAAGACGGCATCTTGCAGACCGAGTTTCTACTCTGGAGCAAGACTGACAGTGAATCAGGCACCTGGCCTGATTCAAGCGTCCTCCATTCGAGCCCTCTCTCTCCTGCTCCGAGGCTTCAAGGCCTGCGCTCTGCCCAGGCTTTCTCCCCGTTAGCCATGTTTTGAAAATCTCCTTCTTTCCTGCTAATTTGCCTTTTCTTTTACATCCTACAGGAAACTTTGCCTCGGAACTTCCAGCACATTGTCGTCTTTCTGCCTAGGGGAATTAGCTAACCCCTAGGGAGGATTAAAGATTACTGGGAAATTATTTCTCCATCATTTGTCCAGGCTGTAAACCCCCAGGGGAATTCCTCTGACATCTTGCCAGAACATGATCACAAGAAATGACACAAAGACCGCCCTCCCCCCCATTCCAGTCACAGGCCAGGGGTTGTTCCTCCTGCCCCAACAACACCAGGGGAAAGGAATGCAGAGAAGACAATGAAAAGAAGCAATATTCTCTTTTATTTTTACTTAATTAAATCTTGCTTTGATTGAAACATAACAAAGAATGGAAGTGCAAAACATCCAACTTTTTTTTTAAAAAAAATCTATAGTATAGATTCTGTCAAAAAAAAAAAACCCCCCACCACGGGAGAGCTGCTTGTCTGCTGACTCACGGATACGTCAAAAGGCATTTAAGCAGCGATCTTGAGCAGTTACCCAGGAGTAATTCTCATTGACTACAGCTGGGCTTGCTTCTGAATGAACATGCGTAGGAAGGCATTGTAAGGTGCTCGCACAGAAGCGAGAAGAAACCTGCAATTTGATAGGCACGCTGGTACAGGGCAGCCGAAGCGCCTGCATTTGAAAAAGAGGCCGCCTTCTCTCAGCCCCTGAAGCCGGGGCAGGAGCCTGGCCCTCCTGCCCCGCTGTGGCCCCCGAGGTTCCCACCGGCAGCTCGCCCGAGGACCCCTTCCGCAAGGCTGCCCTGGAGTGCTGGGGGGGCGGCGGGGAGGGGGTCGTCTCCGAGCGCAGCCCCGATCCCAGGAACCATGCAAGACGCTGGGCGCCGGGACTGACCGACTCCGCTCTCCAGCCTACCGGGGATATTATTGCACACAAGCAGTCTCAAGCTGGAGCGTGCGGCCGGGGTGGGGTGGGGTGGGGTGGGGTGGGAGGTCCCTGCCACGTGGCCCCTAAAGGGGGCGCCCGCAGAACGATGCCGAGGCCCTCGCTGACTCTCCGCAAGCTGCACATTGCAGACCCCACCCCGCGCCCGCTCGGGGTCCTGCGCGTCTTGTCTGTGAGACAGGTGCCCTCCGCTGAGAATTGCGCGGCTGATGCGCTTTATGCAGCACCGAGCACATCCGGGGGGCGCATATCCATTGATGGGCGCGGCGCCGGGCCCTCCGCAGAAGCCCGCCAGCTCCTGCCAAGCCCCCCGCCCCGAACAGTGGGAACGCGCGAGCGGACTCCCGAGAGGCCCGGGGATGCGGGAGCGGCCCCTCCGCGGCGCTGGCCCGCGGGCGGATGCGGGGAGCGGGTCGTAGCCTCCGCCGCTCGCCCCTCGCGCGGACGGGGGCGGAGGTGGCGGGGATGCGCCCGGGGGCCGGGGCAGGAGGCGCGCGGGGCGTGGCCGGGGGAGCCCCGGGCGGCAGCGGGGACGGCGCGGGCAGCGGCCGGCGGGGTCCCCGCAGGGCCGAGCCACCCCGGGCGAGCGGGCGGAGGGCGGCCGGCGCGCGGAAGGGGGCGCCGCCCCGAAGAGCCTCCCGTCGCTGCCGCGGGAGCCCGTGAACGCGCGGAGCGGCGGGAGCTCTCCCGGCCGCGCCCCCCTGCACGCCCGATCTGGGGAGCTGATTGGGGGGCGGGCGGGCGGGGGGAGGGGGCGAAGGGCGCTGCCCGCCTCCCTCCCTCCCTGCGCTCCTGCCTCCGCCTCCCCGCCCTCCTCCTCCTCCTCCTCCTCCTCACGCTCTGCTCCACCACCTCCTCCCCTCCCTTTCTCCCTCCTCCTC